ACGTGATAGATTACTTTAGAGCTGACACAAGTCATTGTGACTTCACGTTAACCAATGAGGGTGTCTTGATTGGTGTGCCAATCTGATTGGCTCAGATCTTTAACTGTCACCAATCAGGTCGCAGATCAGGATGCACACAGCACGAGCTGAGTGGTCAAGAGGCAGTTGGTGCCAGTCTTGCGAGTGAAGGCAGAGCGTTCACTTCGCTGACACCAGTGCCAGTGCCAGTGCGCACAGACAGTGCTTGAAGCCGCGAATTTGAAGACGATTTTATGATCATCCGAAGCAACACCAGGTACAGCCTCATTGGCTGCTGTCTTCCAAGGCTATTTTGTTTTCATGGGACCCAGAATGCTCTTTTTGTCAAAAACACTTTGGAGCGTGGATTGGGCCACTGGCCATTGTTCCTATTGGCTGACTCATCAGGAACACCAGCCTGGATTCTAAACCACCCAGGTCTCCGTTTTGTCCATAGAGTCTGTGGTGGATGAGACACTCAGGCTCCTTCTCAGAATATAGTGGACCATCCCAGGGAGACAGCTGTTCTATTCATTGTCCTCAGTGACATATGTTTAGTTACCTCCCTCAATATTTGTGGGGTTGTTAGTTTTTTTTAATTTTGATTTTGATACAAGGTTTCTTTGTGAAGCTATGGAGTCTGTCTTCACATTACCTCTGTAGACCAGGCAGTCCTCAAACAAACACACAGAGACCTGCCTTCCTCTGCCTTCCAAGTACTGGGTTAAAGACAATCATCACTACAACTGCCAGTCATGTACCCTGAAAATTTATATTTTGAGACTGACATGTCCCACATAACAAAGTCATCTTCATTTGCAACTGTTTTCTGGAAAATAACTGAATTACAGTTTTGGAGCTACAGGTTTTTTACCCTGGATCTTCATTTTTTTATTTTATGAGGTTTTTTTTGTTTTGTTTCATTCTTTGGTTGTTTTTTATTTTATTTTTTTTTTTTGAGACAAGTTTTCTCTGTGAGCTTTGGATCCATTCCTGTGGAACTTGCTCTGTTGACCACTCTGGGATAGAACTCACAGAGATCCAACATCCTCTGCCTTCTGATTGCTGGGATTAAAGGCCCTAGGCCCCACTGCCTGGGTCCTTCTCTTCATATGCTTTATTTGCCAATTTTTGATTAGTATGCCCTTCTGTTCCTCAGTCATGAACTCATCTTGATCATGAATTATTATTTTGTTCTATGTATTTATTGTGCTCTATGTTATTTATCTTTGGTGTCACAACACACACTTTGGCAAGTAAGATGAAAACTGGAGGGTGGAGGTCAGTGCTCTTTTTCCAACATGTGGGATAAAGGAAGGAAAGCTTGGAAGCATTGTGGAGGTTCAGATTTCTGTTCTGCTGAATTTACTCAAAGTTTCATGTGATTTCAGTAAGGATTGTCATATTTAGGTGCATAAACTGTTGGCTTATAATCTACTTATTTTAGAGTTAGGGTTATTTTGTTCTATGTTATTTGTCTGTGGGTGCCACAACACACACATGGGGATCTCATTGAATACTGAGGGGTGGGTGTCAGTGTTTTTTTTTCAGCATGTGGAATCAAGGAAGGAAAGCTCATGTTACCAGGTCTGTAGAGGTTTACTGTAGGCTTTGTAGAAGATATGGGAAAGCGTCTCTTTCCTTTTCCCTTATTGAATAGTTGTAAAATATCAATGTCAATTAGTTTAAAACTTGGGTAGAATGCACATATGAATATATCATCCAGTCTTTTATTCCTTTGGACATTACATCATTGATGATTTTTAAAAATAAATTTGTGTTTATTATACACAATCTTATTTTACAAACGAATCCCAATTCCCTCTCCACCCATACTCTCATGCACACCATAAATGTCCCATCCACACCCCAGGAAGGGTGAAGCCTCCATTGGTGGAAATCACAGTCTGTCACATCATTTGGGGCAGGACCTAGGTCCTTCCCCATATATCTACATTGGTTTCACTGCCAGAAGTCCCATACACTGCACAAGGCCCCCACTGGCACCCACATTCAGAGCGCCTGTTTCAGGCCTATGCTGGTTCACCATGTGTCACACTGTGGTCTGTGATCCCCAACTTGTCAGGTCAGCTGTTTCTGTGGGTTTTGCCAGCATGGTCTTGACCCCTGTGCTCATCACTCCTCCTGCTCTTCAACTGGATTCCAGGAGTTCTGCTCAGTGCTTGGTTGTGAATCTCTGCTGCTGCTTCCATCAGCTACTGGATGAAGGCTCTGTGATGGCATTTAAGGTAGTAGTCAATCTCATTATAGTGCACAGATATTTCCTGATGGCCCTTTCACTCAGGACGGAATAGAAACAGTGCAAACACAAACCAGACCCCCTGAAACCATCTATTTTCACAACCATGGCAGAGAAGAAGTGTGGAAAGATGTTCTGACTGTGATCTCAGTGCACAAAAGGCACAGAACAACCAAAGCCTTCTCGGTCCCTGCACAGAAACACAGGACCATATGCTGTGTGTCAGGTCCTGATTTTCCCCTTCAAATGTAAAGTCTCACACACACATGGGTAAGTATCAGATTCAGCATGTTGTAGCCTCCCCTACAGCCAAATAAACACAGCAAATATCAGGACTTGCTGCATTGTAAATCATGAATAACCAAGTTATATTCACACAAACACAGAAGAGAGATAGGGGGAGGGACAGGGACAGGGAGAGTGAAAGGAGGTAGAAACAGAAGAGCCTGAGGGCAAGACAGAAAAAGATGGGTGTTGGGGCCAGTAGGTATCGCATCACACATAGTCAAAACCCCATAAGCCATACACTCAGACCAGATCATGATGACAGATACTAACATATTCCCCATTCCTTTACAACCAAATCCCTCTATGTGTGTCAAGGTGTCATGTCCTTCAATGTGTCCTCAGTCCTACAATGAAAACCTCCCCATGCAGAGATGGAGTAAGGTACTGCTCACAATCACTTCTTCTATAGCCAATGACACACATATGAACATAGACACATGGGAGCTCACAGGTACTTTGAGTTTAGCCCTACCTAGCAAATAAAATAACTATAAACACACACACACACACACACACACACACACACCATGTTTTCTAGTCCTGTGAATTATAGATGACCATGAAAATCCTCTCTATTCCCTCTCTCTTTTTTTTCTCTCTCTCTTTCTCCCTCTCTCTCACACACACCCACACACAAACACAAACACTCTCAAACACACACACACAGACTCACACACACACACACACACTCATCCATAATGAGGTGTCAGCTTTTCTTACTGCTAGACATGATTCCATTCAACCAAAGCCCCTCTTACAGGGGCAGGACAAATGCAGGTCCTTCTGTCTCATCTTCTGTAACTAAGCCCCTCACACAATACATTGCTCTGCCTGTATCTACCAGGTATTTTTCTCCTACACAGCCAATATCATCATATAGAAGGATTAAGCTTCTGCTAAATATCCCCTGCCCTAGAGGCAAAAGTCCCAATACAAATAAAAGCCAGGTATCAGACATTTAGGGTAGCCTTTTCCCTACTGTAAAATTTCCAATAAAAGTTGTATGCATAAGATCTAACCATGTCTCCTGAACATGGCTGTTGGTTTGGGAGGCCTGGCTAGGCTATGGGGCCACTGGCAGTGGAACCAGTATTTATTCCTGTGCATGAATTGGCTTTGGGAGATCATTCCATATGGGGGATACTCCCTCAGCCTAGATACATGGGGGACTACATTATAAAAGATAACCATTTTTTAATAATACTCATTATTCAAGTAAATAAACTTAATGAGTGTGTATTAAATACTAGGTACTAAATTTACCCAAAGAATTCACTGTTGATAACCGTGTTTTTCCCTCTCCCTGGATCCTGGACGACCTGCCCCGTTCCTGCTCCCAATTCCACTCCTTCTTCTCTCCCATTGCTTCTCGTCAGCACCCACTCTGCACCACCCTTTACTGAGCCTGAACCTTCTGCCACCTACCTGTCACTCCCTGCCAGCCTTCTGCTGGGCTCGTGCCTTCTCCTTAGGGAAGCTTTCCTGGTTGCGGGGACTCTCTAATCCTCTGGCTCTCTCCCTATCTCAGGATGGCTCTTCTCTAAGGCTACATTTTCACCCCTGGATCCATTTTCTGACAGGTTTTTTGCTGTTCTCTGACAATTGTCAAATGTTGCAGGGCTTGATAGTGCATTTGTAGGTGGCTGCATAAGGACTTTGCATGCAGAAACTAGCATTCACCACATAAAAGCCTCACTTAATGGACCATTATCCAGCTATTCCCAGTCATAGATGTTGTGAAATCTAAGCTCTTATCTCATTCATAGAAAGTAGGAGCTGTGTCATTGCCATGTTTGACACCTCAGATAATGGCATTCACACTCATCAGACCCAGTTGTCCTCCATGATTTTACATGTTTGCATGAGTACATTTATTTAAAGACAGGGTTTCCTGTTGCACAGGCTGACCCCACACTCTCTGTGTTGCTGAGGACTGTTGGCTTCAACGGACGCAAACCCAGAGAAGCCCAGCAGATCTCAGCTAGCGACTGGACCGGAAGCCGAACTCCAGGAAAAAAAAAGAGCGAGACTTCCTGTGCGCTGTCTTTTATGCCTTCCCCCCGTAACGCCCCCTAGCCATGCCCAAAAGTGGGCTTGGCTAGTGACGTAGTTCCGCCTACGTACGTATACGTCTTTACATCCAGCCGTATACGTCTTTAGTCCTGCCTAAAGTGGGTGTGGTTAGCGGTGTGGTAAACCGCCCTTTTATTACCTCATCTGTATGCGCCTCTAGTAAGTCACATGTTTAATGGCGGCATAGACTTAGTAAGTCACATGTTTAATGGCGGCATCAGACTTCCTCCTACAGAGGACGACCTTGAACTTCTGTTCCTTCTAACTCCCATGAGAGCTGGGAAAACAGGCATATGCCACTAACCCTGGTGCACGTGGTCCTCACAATTGAAACCACGGCTGCTTGTGTGCTCACCAATCAGCTCCTGCTGTTCGATTTCTCATCGTTTGGAAGTGCCCCATGTGCCCAGGATGGTGTTCTACTCCTGTTTCATCCAAGTCACAAGGAAGTATCCATTCATCTTCAGTGGTAGATCTGCTGAGATCAAGTGTGCAAAAATGAAAACCCTACATTTAATTAGAAGTACTTGTTCTCACTGCATATCTGTCTAAGGAAATACATGTTTGGCCTTATAAACCTAGACAATTAACCTTGACTGGAGAGGTCATGGCCTAGAGAACGGAAGAAAACTACTACTTCCATTATATTAGAGAAATGTAATATTTAACTGTATTCCAAAAGTATGTTGTTGTACCCACATATAAATGTAGCAGCTGATCCTGATCAAACACCTTACTTTTGACACACCAGACTACTACAGAGACCCACAACTGGTCATAATGCAGAGATGTGATTCTGCCATGCTAAATCTAGATTGATACAGGAGCAGTTGTATCTTTTACGGTACAGGTTAGCTCTGCCTCTCAATAATGTGACTACACATGCAAGACAAATATGAAACAGCAGTTCAAATGCAAATGCAGACAGGGTGAATTCCACAGAGTGTTTTTGCCATTATTCTTTCAGTCTATTTTGCATATGGGTCATTGTTGTTTTAGGGTGTGTAGCTGGGTGATAGTGACGATTGTCTTTCTCCTCTACGCTGCAGAGTATATTCCTGTGTCATGATTGTCAGTCAGTAGTGGTGAATCTTCTAGTTATTCATCCACTCAACTTCTCCATGTTGACTAACATACACTTGTGTTGTCTTCAGCAATAAGACATAACAATAAGTTTGTGGATAAGCAGCAGTTTTAGCAGTCTATGTGAGCTTTGGGAGTTTTCATGAGTCCCAAGTTCAGCTATTCAGTAAGGTAGAACCAGATCATGTCAGTGTACCAAAATTTTTTATAGAGATTTCTTTCTTCAATAAATATTGAACTATATTTCTCTTTATTGTTCTGTTTCGGTTTTTGTATGCTATCTTTTCAGTTTTGGTAGTTCACACAAGTTTAGAAGTTTGCCATTTGCTCCAGTTTTCCATTTCATGCCAGTATACATCTTTAAAGTCCTTCAAATGAAGAATCACAGGAACCAGAGGGGTCAGGGACAGCACAGGAACATAGTCCACAGAGAAATTGTCTGGTACTCATAGGAGCTCACAGAGATGAGGCAGCTGTAGGGGGTCTTACCCAGTTCCTATGGATATATGCTATTGCTAAGTATCCTAATGGTATTGTGGGATTCCTAACAGTGGGAGGTGGATGGTCACTTATTCCTTGGCCTACTTATGCTACCCTTTTCCTCCTGCTGCTATATTTCCCAGTCTTATGGTAGCATATCATGCCATGTTTGGTTGATGTTCCTGAGAAGCCTGACCTTTTTCTGAGGGGATATGTAGAGAAGGTAAATCTGGGGATGAGAGGGGAGAGTCTGGGGGAGGGCAACGAGGGAAAAATATGGCCAGGGTATAATATATGAGAATAGGATAAAAATACTGGGAAACTTGATCAATTTCAATGAGACATGTGTTGACATCATTGACTCCTAGAAAGCCTTTTTTGTTTTAATTAATTTTTGTTTAAATTTAAAGCAATCATATTTTTCATACCAACCCCAGTTCCCACTCCCTCTCTTCATCCCATTCTCTCCATCAACCCCATATTCTATCCCCCCATCCACTCCTAAAAGAGTGTGAGTCCTCCCATGGGGGATCATCCAAATCTATCACCTCATTTGGGGCAGAACCTAGGCTCTCCCCCCTGTATTGAGGCTGAGAGAGTGTCTATTAAGATGCTGAATTTGCGATGTTCTATAATGATATGTGAAAGCTAATACAATGACAGAAAGATAAATGGCCATTATAAAGACAAAGATACCTCTGGTCAAAAGAAAATATAAAGGAAGGATGGAAGGAAGGAAGGGAGGGAGGGAGGTAGTGAGAAAGGAAGGAAGGCAAAGAAAGAAAGAAAGAAGACAGAAAAAGAGACAAAAAGAGAAAGAGAAAGTCAGGGCTATTCTAAAAATAAAATGTGCCACTCATGTGAGCATCCAGCCTAAATTAGGACAAGTAAGTGAGTCCAGTTTCTTTGCTTAGAAAGCCTTTTATTTTATCACTATATAGAGAACACGGAACTATTAGAACATTGTCTTTATTCATACTTATCATGTAGTCAGGAAACATCATACCTGTAATATCTTCCCTCATAGAAACATTATCAGATCTGAAAACAAAGAAGTAGAATTAAAATGTAAATTGAATAATTATGTGCCACGTTATGGAACTATTAAAAGAAGAAAACATTCAAAATAAGATGTAAATGTATTTGTGGTTTAAATATGTGATAGATATCATGGATCTCTGAGAAATGTTTCATGAATTGAGTTTTCATGAAAGCAAATAACTATTAATGCAGAATGATGTTCTACATTACTGAAAGACAAATATGATATCATTATATTCACCAAATTATGTCAGAGTAAAATGCACTATTTGGGGACAGGAAACATAGGTAAATTTGATGGTTGTTAAAGGACTACCTTACAATTTGGTAATGGAAATCTTTTCCTTAAAAAACTGCATTTTGTTAAATTCTGTACATGATTATTTCTATTCCCTCTGATTTAGTTATTTCTTCAGAAATGTTGATTCTCTGTTACTATTTGTAGTCTATACTTTCATTAAGAAAGTATTTCAAGGGCTTATGACTATATGATTTCCATTGTTTAGTTTATTGAGAACTTAGTAGTGAAGAAAAAATTATTCCCAAGAATGGTCATGTTAGTTGCCAAAATAAGTACTTCCAAGGGATTCTTTACATTCCAGCCGCTTTGGCTGTAACAGCAGCAAAGTTTGGCTATAGATTTAAACTGTGTTTTCTCCTACTTAACCACTTTTGGTAAGGTTGTATCTGTTTTGTTTGCCCATTTTAAAAATCAATGTTTTATGCGTTTGCAATGTTCATTATTGTCTATTTCCTTACATTCAGTTCTCATCTTCAGTACATTTTCCACATTACTTTTTGGAGTTAAGTTTATTCTCGTTTTTATTTGTGTGACTCACAGGTTCATTGTAAGTTGCCTCACATTTGTCACACTTCTCCAAGGAGAAACTGAAAGCTATAGAATTTCCCTAAGACCTACTTTCTTTGTTTTCAGTTGGTGTTGTCATGGATATTACCAAGAACCTCACTAACAAGACCAGTGAGAAGGTGACGATGCAGCTGGACCTGAAGGCCAGCACCTCTGAAAAGGAGAAACTACGCGATCACTATGTCATCCTCAGGACCCTTGGCAAAGGGAACTTTGCTGAGGTGAAGCTTGCCTGCCACCTTCAAACAGAGGAGCAAGTTGCCATCAAGGTCCTGCAAAATGGAACAAGGAATGACTCCGGCATTCAAACCGAACTTGACATCTTGAAAACGTTGAACCACCCATATGTTATCAAGCTGTTCCATGTCATCAACACCGAAGATTACACCTATATGGTGTTGGAACATGCTGCTGGTGGAGATCTGGTGAGCCACGTTGAGAGGGTGGGCTCTCTGCAGGAGGAGCAGGCCCAGCACATTTTTACCCAGCTAGCGTGTGCAGTTCACTACTGCCATAAGAATGACATTGCACACCGAGACATCAAGCTGGATAATATGCTGCTTGATGACAAAGGCAACATCAAGCTGTGTGACTTTGGCCTGGCCACCCGTGTCAGCCCTGGCCAAGGTACCAAGGGGTTCTGCGGAACCATTGGATATTGTGCTCCAGAGCTGTTCTCTGACAAAGAATACGACGCAAAGGCAGCGGACATCTGGAGCATGGGAGTGGTTTTGTAGGCAATGGTGACGGCAGACTTTCCATTCAAAGGCAGTACCTACTCATACATGGAGGAGGAGATGCAGGACCCCAAGTACCACCTCCCTTACAGACTTTCAGAAAACATAGCAGACATCATTGAGCAGTTGTTCACTGTGAAGCCTGAGCAGAGGCCCAAGATAGGTGACATTAGGCAGCACCAGTGGGTCAAGGCAAAGGAAGATATATGGAAAATCACACCACCCTTAGAGGCACTCTGCAACAACCCAAATCCCAGCATTTTGGTGGCTATGTGGAGGATGGGCTATGACCCAAAGGCCACTACTGCTTGTCTACGTGAGAAAAAATTCAATAACATAATGGCCACATACCTAATTTTAAACCACAAGTCACACCGCGACCACTCTAAATATGCTGAGAAGTTTTTGCCGGACTCTGATGCTATGTCCCGAGCAGATGCTATCACTGGCTTTACTTCTCAGAGGAGACTGAGTGAGCTTGCTCTTCTCACATTGCTGGAGGAACACCGGGTGCATGATGAGAAGGGATCAAGGAAGAAGACCACGAGAAGTCTGAGCATGCCTGCCACCTTGTGCTGTCAGCAGAAGGGAAACAAAGGTCCACACCCAGCCTCCAAATTGGCTGGTCGTAAGATTACTTATGTCAAGAGCAGATGTTTGGCAGTGGGCAGCATGATTTGCTATTCGTCAAGATCCTCAAGATCCCTGTCCTCTGAGAGCATTTCTTCTTCAAAATCTTTATCTTGCAAGACACCGCAGGAAGTGAACACCCCCAACAACAGCTCATGCACTCAGAGTTCAGGGAGTTACAGGGAGGTACCTCACATTGTGAATGCCACTGGCACATATGACATCCAGAAAGATTCTCTTCGGGCAACATCAGATAACAGCTTTGACGATGTCCCTACTGAAGGCATTCCTGAAATCCTGATTTCTTCCCTTCAGGCATCATCTAACAACACCTTTGATGATGCCCCTACTGAAAGCATACCTGAAGTCCAGAGATTTTCCCATCAGGAGCCATCCCTGAACAGGTTTGATGATGTCACTCCTGAAGACCTAACTGAAATCCAGATCAGGTTTGATGATGTCACTCCTGAAGACCTAACTGAAATCCAGAGATCTTCCCTTCAGGCATCATCTAAGAATACCTTTGATGATGTCCCTACTGAAGGCACGTCTGAAATCCAGAGATTTTCCCTTCAGGTAACATCCATGAACAGGTTTGATGATGTCACTCCTGAAGACCTAACTGAAATCCAGGGATCTTCCCTTCAGGAAACATCCCTGAACAGGTTTGATGATGTCACTCCTGAAGACCTAACTGAAATCCAGAACAGGTTTGATGATGTCACTCCTGAAGACCTAACTGAAATCCAGGGATCTTCCCTTCAGGAAACATCCCTGAACAGGTTTGATGATGTCACTCCCGAAGACCTAACTGAAATCCAGGGATCTTCCCTTCAGGAAACATCCCTGAACAGGTTTGATGATGTCACTCCCGAAGACCTAACTGAAATCCAGAACAGGTTTGATGATGTCCCTCCTGAAGACCTAACTGAAATCCAGAACAGGTTTGATGATGTCACTCCTGAAGACCTAACTGAAATCCAGAGATCTTCCCTTCGTCTGACATCCAAGAACATCTTTGATGATGTCCCTCATGAAGGTGTTCCTGAAATCCAGAGATCTCCTCTTCAGGAAACATATGAAAATGTCTCTCCTGAAGACATAACTGAAATCCAGAAATCATCCCTTCAGGCAACATCCATCAACATCTTTGAAGATGTCCCTCTTGAAAACATAAATGAAATCCAGAGATCTTCCTGTCAGGAAACATCGAAGAACAGATTTGACGATGTCCCACCTGAAGATGTAACTGCAGCCTCTGCCAACCGTCTATCCCGAGGCTGGAAGAGGATTAAGAAGAGAATTGGAAATTGTCTGAGACGACTATGCTGCTGCGTGCCAGCCTGCAAGAAAAGCCATGTTTCTCAGGAGGAAGCAGAACCGGTGGAAGCGGAGAGCGGTGTGGTCGCACACACGCAGCTGCATGGGGTGCCCAAGATGCACTCCTGTGTTTCTTAATCTGTATGTTTTCTAATGTCTGCTGCAACCATCGCATGATAGTCATGAATATGAAAATTAGCAAATCCTATTTCTAAAGGAACAGTCCTATAGCACCACCATAACCATCAGCATGAAATGGTTTACCTGAAGGTAAACAACAGAGGATGAGAAGCAGTGGTAACAGAGGCGGAGAAATTTAGTAAAAATAGGAAAGCATAGGAGGGGATCAAGGTTTGGGGTAATAAAACTCCAAAGGCTACCACTTGAAAATGAATAGCCCAGAATGAAGTAAGAGTCTAGAATCTGAACTATATATTTCAAAGTTATTAAGACTGTGTCTTGCGTACATCATTATCTTCTGAAGTGATAAGAATCTATGGAGGTTGAGACATGGGGTAGGAATTTTCCTGGTGTGACTGAGAGCCAAAGTGGGAGCCCTGCAGGAAGTCCAGATGGCAGTGTCCACTAACCCAGGAGAAAAGTCCAGCACAGGAGGAGGTAAGCCATCATCTACCACAGGACTCTCCATGGAAAAGTGTAGGTAACAAGGCTAAGTCCTAAGCATGTCCTTCCATAGCATTCTTCTCAGAGGGAAGCCTTGTGCCAAAATACACCTCCAAACTTCCCATGAATTAAGTCCCAATGGGACAGTCCTCATGGATAGACCACAGCAATTCTCTTTTGTCTTTCTATACAAAGATAAGGTCGAAGGGAGATGTTTTCTCACACTGGAGGAGAGGTGACCCTTCTCTTCCTTCTTCCTCCTTTCCCTGCTGCTGCCTTTGCAGCCTGCCTGAATCCCGTTGTCCCTCTTATCACAGGAGTCACAGTCCCACTGCATGACGCTGGACCGGTCTAGCAGTTGGTAAAGGGGCCCTTACTATGGGGCTTTTGTCAGAAGCATGTTTCTCTCCTAACAGGAAGGTGACAGCACGCTGGAAGGAAATGGGTTCCACACTGTATGGAAAGCTGGGATATGGCTCCACTTTGGAAGGTGGGTATTGCTTGCCTGTCTTGCAGCACAGTAGACTCATGACTTAGTCCACAGTCTTGGGAATCCTATTTATTTAGATCAGAGGTTAGACATAGACAGAACCTTGTGACCATAGAGTTGAGGCGTCTGGCTAGGCTGTCTGCCTGGGTGTCTTACTGTTAGAGTTGTCTTTGGTGAAGTCCTAGACACACAGGAGACAGATTACTGCTGTCTGCAATGAAAAGTGGCCACTCAGAAGGGACCGATAAGCCACAGGGTTTATCTGTGGGCCTCATGTGGCTAAAGACAACTTTGAAACTACCTATCTAGTCCTGTTGTATGAGAGATGTTTCTGTGATCTGGTCTATCCTTGACACTGGTCTACAGACAAATAAGCATGAGGCTGCCAAAGCCAGGCATTTTCAATTCCAAGGAAAATGGTCATTGAGCTCACGATGCAGAGGGGCAAAATCACGAGAGACAACACAGCCATGCATTGAGAGGGACCTTGGCATAATTTGTGGCTAGTACAGCTTGTTTCCACTCTGACCCACTATACCCTAACCTTTATGGAGAAACAGTATTTGTAGAAAGGGTGAACATCTCCTTACCCCTGAATGGTAGGACAGTCACTCTGAAACTGGCCAGTTACAGACTCTGTACTGGCTTGAGGAACCACAAATATGTGGGTGGACACGGCCTCACAAGGAAACCAGCACACAGCTACAGAGCTTCTTGCTCCTGTGGGCGATGCTGCTCTATATCCCTGGTGATTACTAAGGCTATTCTTTCCTGATGTGCTTTACTGAAGCCAGCACCGGGGAAAGGGGAACCTGGGTGCTGTGGCCTGGTCACTCTAACCCAGGAGAGACAAAATAAGAAAATCACTGGCTTCATAAGATGGTGCTTAAGAAGTTAAATCTCAGTATGAACAGATGTGATGTTTATTTCTGTTTACTAATATTTCCCTTTAGCCTGATGGGAACTTTTGTGTCCCTGCAATGAAAGGCATGCTCCTGCCTTTAGACTTTTCTTCTGAGAGAACAGAAGACAGCTGAGGCCCCCACTGCCAGTACCTCCCTCATTCACTGTCTGTTTACTGGACAGAGCAGGAGCAAGTGCAATCATTCCCAGCTACTTAGAGCAGGACCCTCATAAACACCAGCTCAGAGTGGTCCATGGATATCCTCCTCACAGAGATGAGTCTTTGAGATGCTCTTTGGAACACTACTTAAATTACACCGACTGGCCTATGGACACTGACATGGTGACCAGTTTGGTATGGGTGGGTCACACGGAGCCTCAATGGTCAACCAATATCTCATATATATATATATATAATTTTATTTTTAAATAGCTTGTTTTACATGTCAATCCCAGTTCCCTCTCCCTCCCCTCATCACACACTCCCCCATTATCTCCCCATCCTCCCACACAATTGCCAATTCCTTCCACATAGGGGATATCTAGAGTCTGTCATTTCACTCAGGGTAGGGTCGAGGCACTCCCCTAAGAGTCCAGGCTGAGAGAGCATCCCTCTTTGAGTTATGGACACACGATGTCTGTTAGTATTCGAGGGATAAACACTGATCCACTGCTCAGGACCCCATAGGTTGCCCAGGCCTCCTCACTGACTGTCACTTTCAGGGGGTCTGGATCAGACCCATGCTGGCCTCCCAGCAGTCAGTCTGGTGTCCAAGAGCTCTCCCCTGTTCAGATCACCTGCCTCTGCTGATTTTGCCAGCCCATTGTTTGCCAATTTGCTCATCGCTCCTCTCTCTCTGTCGCTGGGTTCCTTGGGTTCAGTTCAGTGTTTAACTGTGGGTGTTTGCCTCTGCTTCCATCAGTCACTGGATGAAGGCTCCCGGATGGTTATAGACATCAAGTTCATTATCAGGAATGGGCATTCGGGGTGGTCTCTACACTATTGCTTAGCTTGCCAATTGGTGTCATCCCTTTAGATCACTAGAGGTCACAATGGGGCCTGGTCTGTCTTCTAACCTCTGATTCCCTCTTCCCCCTATCCTACCCCCCACTAGTCAACTTACCTGTTCCCCCATGACCTACTCTCTCTTCCTCTTCTCCCCCTCTCTATTTACCAGCTCCCCCTCCCCCAACCCCTCGCCATGTTCCCCATCTGTTCAGAGGATCTTGCCTCATTTCTCTTCTCCCGGGTACCATGCATATCTTTTTTTAAAATCATTTTTTATTTTAATTTTAAATAGCTTGTTTTACATGTCAATCCCAGTTCCCTCTCCCTCCCCTCTTCCCGCACTCCCCTTCCCCCCTCCCTCCCACCCTATGCCAAATCCTTCCACATAGGGGATATCTAGAGTCTGTCGTTTTACTCTTGGTAGGGTCAAGGCACTCCCCTAAGAGTCCAGGCTGAGAGAGCATCTCTCTTTGTGCTATAGGCACATGAAGACAGTTTGTATACCAGGGATAGACACTGATCCATAGCTCAGGGCCCCATAGGTTGCCCAGGCCTTCTCACTGGCACTCACATTTGGGGGGTCCAGATCAGTCCCATGCTGGCTTCCCCACTGTCGGTCTGGGGTCCAAGAGCACTCCCCTGTTCAGATCAGCTGTCTCTGCTGTTTTTGCCAGCCCATTCTTTGCCAATTTGCTTATCACTCCTCTCTCTCTGTCACTGGGTTCCTTGGGTTCAGTTCAGTGATTAGTTGTGTGTTTGCCTCTGCTTCCATCCGTCACAGGATGAAGGCTCCCGGATGGTTATAGACATCAAGTTCATTATCAGGAATGGGCATTCGAGGTGGTCCCTCCACTATTGCTTAGCTTGCCAATTGATGTTATACCTTTAGATCACTCGAGGTCACTCTGGTGCCTGATCTGTCTTCGATCCTATGATTCCCTCTTCGCCCTATTCTACCCCCACCCCCACAACTTCCTGTTCCCCCATGACCAACTCCCTTCCTCTTTACCCCCTCTCTTCTTCCCAGGTCCCACTCCCCGCCACCCCTCGCCGTGTTCCCCATCCATTCAGAGGATCTTGTCTCCATCCTCTTCTCTTGGGTACGAAGCATATATGCATATCTTTTAGGTTCTTTCCTGTTTCCCAGACTCTCTATCTGTGGAAGTGCAGACTGGCACTATCCTGATCCATATCTAAAATCCATATATGAGTGAGTACATACCATGTTTGTCTTTTTGCTACTGGGTTACCTCACTCAGGGTGGTTTCTTCCAGTGCTATCCATTTCCCTGCGAATTTCAAGATTCCATTGTTTTTTTCTGCTGAGTAATACTCCATTGTGTAAATGTACCACATTTTCTCTATCC